ATATATATAATAAATATATTATATATATGTATATATATAACTAAATATATATATGTATATATAATAAAATAAATAAATTTTATAAAAAAAATCAAGTCACAGAAGATCAAGTGGCTATATGTATGTATGTATATATATATAATTAGATAAAAAAAAATTGAAGAAAAAGAAAAACAGGCATAAATGTAAATAAGAAAAAAGATTAAGAGTATAAATAGAAACAAAATCATCCAGACCATATTAAATCACCGATTCGGTAGTTTAAAAAAATAGAAAAAATTGTGATTTTTGAACTATACAATAACCGTAAAAAAATTATACTATATGTTTATAAATGCAAACAAACTAGACAAAATTATGAAAAAATCATATCATACATTAACATACCACCATCTAAACAAAACCTTACCATTTTTGTTTCCATAAACCTTTCTTGTGCTTCCCATATTGTTATATACATTTATACATTTAGACATTTGACCAAAGGTTCTCCTAATTGTATATAACACATTTAATTCACACTCTTGTGCACATGTTTTCACGTTCATGCTTCTTTTATATTGTATTACTAATGTGAATACTTTATTTATTTATGACAGTAGATATATAGAAAGTATTTATGATTTAACAACACTAAATATTTCATTTAAGTCTTTCAAGAATCGAATGACTTGATCTTGTTCTTGATACTTTTTAATAATAACATATTATTGTACCTACGTTCTATTTGACATGTGTATGCAGGTACATGTATCAAGTTTATTAACCCATCCTACAAAATTGTCAATATAGTAAAATATTTTGTGATAGAATAGATACCATACTTTAGAGAATATCTTTTTTTCTAGAAGTTAGAAATCTTCATTATATCACCTTGTGTGAATCGATCATGTAAATTCTTTCAAAAATCATTTGCATAATCAATTCACAATACACATTGAGCTATTGACAGTAATAGAGACTTAATTATCCAAGAAAACATAATGGTATTACACCATTTTCAAACTCTATACATTACATCGTTTTTTCTCAGGATTTATGTGAGTTGTCTACAAATTTTAACTCATTATTTGACATTAACATTATTCTCATTGTTCTGGACCACAAATACAAATTATTACCATTGAGAATCGTAAATGTGGGTTGGAGTGATGGACTCTCATTTAGATGTAGGTAGAACGGGTTCACGAAAATTTCTTCCGATTTTGATGAATCAAAAGCATCGATTGTCAAGCAGGAAATAAGATTTTTGTCTTTTACCTTCTTTCGAATCTCTTGACAAAATTAAAAAAATAAATAAGATAAATAAATGATTTTAAAAAATTAAGAGTTTTTTCTTTTGATCGATAAAACAAAATTGCTCGGTTAGATAGATTAATCAAGCACTGATACCATATGAAATAATTTCACCACCAAAGATTGCACGAAATTGTTATGAAATTGTGAGACAAGATCAAGATTGCAAAACTCTTGAGAACAAGAAAACATGTGTGTGTGTGTGTGAGAGAGAGGGGGGGGAGGGGGACTCGGAAATTGGAAAAATGTCAGAGTGAGTGAGTGTTCATTAGTGAAAAAGAAAATTAATTAGGCTAATTACAAATTATTAACTATAATTATAATTAATTAAGCTAATCCTAGGTTGACTTGACACTCAGACTCCAGTATTCTATTAGCAATCAGCAATACTTGGAGACTGTCACTTTTGTCATTGCTGCTTTCGCTGCTCACTTTGTTGAGGTAATCCCAGAAGTAGCCTTCTTGATCAAGACCCTCTTTTAATTTATTTTCAAAATCTTCTTCGTCACAATTCTCCAAATGATTAGACGTATCTCATCGTAACCCTCTCCTTAACTCAACATTGTTCTCTTCTAAGTTCTGACTAACAGATTCACAGGACCTGTCAGAAAGAATTCTTGGTCGTCACTGCAAACAGTATCCTGATTTTGGTGCTCGTCATCACTTTAATCTATATCTACATTCAGTTCTTCCATTTGGATAGTCTGTCCCTGTTCATATATGCACCCGAAATAAGTAGTCAAGAGTTTGATTCACATTGACATAGATTTTTGCGGTATCTTTTTCAGTTTCATAAATCTACCTGCTCACGGTTTAAAATAATAAAAATAGCGTTGTTGCAAATCTAAATGTTAGCTTAAATTACAAGGAGAAATTGTGAATTGAAAGAATAAGAAAAAAAAAAAAAAACCCACTAAATCATTTAAATTATGAAGTACTTTATCTCTGAGATCTACGCTTGAATAAAAAAACAGACAAGAAACCTCTCTCTCTCTCTCTCTCTCTCTCTCTCTCTCTATATATATATATATATATATAATTAGCAAAGATGGTTACTCACTCTTTTGAAGTTAGTGCGTTGAGTTGGTGAAGCAGCCATGTGTTGATAGTATTGAAAGACTGGTAGTATAAACATGTACATCAAATTTGTGGTGAAAAACAGAGAGATCGCCACTGACTCCAGCACAGGATATCCCAACCAAGACACAGCTGCAAGTACTATTCCTACCCTTTCTTCACAAAACCACACTAAATCACCATCCTAAAACATCCAAAGCAAGGAGTAAATTCAATAATATCATTATTATTCTAAACAAGAACAGACAATTTGAGATAATGATTAATAAAATCACTTACAGTGGGATGATTAGGGTCGATTCTTCGCCTTTCCATCAAGTTTAAGAAATAAGCTAAATTGGTAAGCAACAAGACTAGAGACGGCAAAACAATTCCAAACCCAGACAAGATGAAGAGCAATATGATAGCCGGCCTCTCCATCCAAAATAAGATAGCATCTGCGTTACTGATGTGAGCCAATTTCTTTGCATCCCTGTCGGTTACCATTGTTGAAATTAATTAATAACAAAAAAGAGTAAAGTGGAAGGTTCGTGAATGATATGTTTCTGACGAGTATAATAAGCCGAGCTCGGTTATAAGTAGGAAAACTTTATTAAAATTTTAAAGGAATTGTATTCGGTTTAGGATACAGGAAGACAGACTTGATTGAAATTGTTATTTGTTCCAAACTCGATTTAGGATTTATCTACTTACCTTTGAAAAATAACGAAAAGTGATAAATAGTTAGTAGTCGTGATAAAATTCTATTTGTTTCAATTTAAAATCTGATAAAATAGTAGCAAATGGTATATTTTGAATGAATTTTAAAAATTACCGAATCGCGGCAGATAAATAATTATATTTTTTATCTCAATATACCCTTCTAAATAAATTATCCTTTCAAACCCATTTTAAGTTTTTATTTTTTAAAATAATTTTAAATTTAATATAATAATATATAATTACAATCATTTATTTTTTAATATATAAAATCAAATCACCACTGAGAATGGACTGGCACGAGAGCCACGGGGAAGTAGCTGATGAAGATTGAAGACGAAGAAGGCTTGAAGGAGAGGGTTTTAGGTTTGTCCTGGACAGGATTACTGTGATATTGGCAAGGCCCTGCTTCAAAATAATTGGGCTGGGCTTTTTTAATTCATTCCTTTTTCTTTTATTTTATTTTCTTTTTTTTTTTAAAAAAAAAAGATATTTAATTGAATTTTAAATTTTTACAAAATATTTAAGACAGAAATGATATTCTAATTTTAAGTTAATTTAATATAATATATATATTTTTTATTTATTTATTTATTTATTTATAGAACTAACAAATAAAATGCAAATTTATCATTTGTAAAATTGAATATATAGCTTAATCACCGTTAAATGTATAAATTATAATTACTTTGTTAGTATTTCATACGTTATACAAGTGAAATCTTCAAAATTTGTAACCCATATTATATTAAACAATTTGTGGAAGTTGGCCAACAGACAAATCCCACTTAACCTTGTTAAAATTATTAGCCCACCCATTATAAAATTATATTAAATAATTTTGTGTTATTGTTCAAGACAAAAAAGAGAATATAATTATATTAATTAACCTTTCTTTTTCAACTAACATTTTATCAATGGTTGCTTTTAACTTCATCCACTATTTGATTATATAAAAAAGGACAAGTAGAAAATTCTGGTTTCGTCAAGCTTTATACTACATCCAAAGCAAAAGCAATACTAGTTTAATAATTTAACATACTTTCATTTTTTTCTAAGTTATTAATTTTTGTATTTACTATTAAAATTGTAAATTCCATTCATGCCATGTGTGCTTAAGTATATATCTTTATTAAAATGATGTATCATAATTAGTATAAGAAAAATATATATATATATTTATACTCAATAAAGTTAATTTTGAGATTCGAATTAGCAATGGACTTTCCTTGTGTGGGTAATGGCCAATTTTCAATTTACTCAACAAATAACAAACACACACACACACACAAAGAGAGCCTTGATGTCATTTTTAATCAACATAAGTCATATAAATAATGCACAAACAAATACAAATTTCAATAGAATATAAGTACTTATATATACAAATAATATTATTATAATGAAATTACGCTTATACTTGCAAGGGAAGTTATAATATTACTCAGTAATTATCTATATCATCAGCAGTCTACTGGTTATTTGGTTTTTTTATTTTTACAGATAATTATTTTTCATAATGTAATAAATGAATTGCATTTTTTCTTCTAAAAAATATTGGTGAAATATTATAGTAACTCAAAATTCTTTTTTTTTTTTCATAAAGCTCATATATTTAATTTAACAAAGAAATATAATAGTTCATATTTAATTTTTATAAGTAAAACCCACTTCATTTCTTATTTTTACTTTTGTGGGGTGGCAACTTGTGTTTATATAGGAATGAAACTAAAATAAAAAATATTTAGTCACTACAAGTCATTTTATAAAATCTCTAATTTTTTAATATATTATTACTTCATATATTTTTTTTGGTAACAATTACTAGAAATTCAAAAACAAAATGAACAAAATAATCTTCAAAAGATAAAACATCAATACAAGAACACCAACTCAACCATGAAAACCTTGGAGGAGGAAGTAGCATTGGATACCCATTACCTTTGAAATCTGCAAACTACATGGAAGTGTAAGAATCTCAGCTACAAACATTCCAATCTGTACACACTATATCTGGATTCATATATTATCGACCATAACTAATGAATAAATTTACCTTTATAAAACCTTGGTGTAGATGGAGATAATATATGCATATTATTTTATGAGAAAATTAGATTTTGTGTCACTGAGTTATCATATAATACGTGAAACTCAAAAAATAAACTTCAGTTTTTGAACCACCATGAATGGTCAGACTCATTGTTCCTAAAAAATTGAAGAATTCTTATCTTAACAAATTCTCTATAAATTCAATATAAATCAAGTATTATAATCTTTCTCAGAGACTAATAATCTCATTGACAATCATTAGTGAAAAAAGAACTTAGTGTTAAGGTCATGTCGAAATGGATTAAAGATCCATACTTGCAAAAGCACACTCCTTAAAAAGATAGACAATTAGCTCGTCAAATTAATTCAAATAAGACAATGTGTTGTTTAGACGCAAAATATCCTCCTTCTTAGGTGTTTTACCTAAAGAAAAATGGGATTATGTCATATATTCTTCCAAGGTAAATGATATTCCCTCAAAATAAAAATATTAGAATTAAGTATCCATCATGTCAAGCTTGAGAATATTTTGATTCACTGTGTACTATCCATATTTGGAATATGTCTAAATGAGCTTGTCATATACCTTTTATAACTCATACAAATATTAATAGTTTTTTCAATTTAAAATAGCAAGAATAGATGTAGCAACCCGAAACTTGAAATGAAATAAATTCTAAATTAAATGCGAAAACGAAATAATAGCGTTAGTGTTTATATTCCTTACACAATAATTTAGAATACCCAATAGGTTACGGGAATGATCATTCTAAAAGAACAACTAATAACAAATAAATAAATGAAAAGTAAACAAACTAAACATCCTATTCGCAACCCTATTGTAGATCGAAATCTGTATCTTAGTGCTCTTAATCTGAAATGGTTAATGAAAAAGTGAGCTACACTAGCCCAGTAAGAATATCACACTACTCACCAATATAGAAATAAATGTTAGTAAAAATCATGAAAATAACTAATGGAGCTCTTAATTTAAGTAAATTCATTTATCATAAGTAAAATAATTTATTGTACATTTACTGTAGTAAATTTTTCAAAACTGACCTATGGAGCCAGTTACACAAACAATCTCATAATATCATATATAATTAACCAGAACAGCAACCTTTTCCATTTTACCTGCTTACTGGTATCCATGAAGGTTCATAGAGATGTCTCCACTACATGTGAACCATTATTCAACATTTTCAATTAACTAGCTGTCCCCATAACCTGTCCGGTTTGAGCGCCAAAGTACCAATTCTCCATACCCCGTTCGGTATGATACAACGTTCACGGTAAGGTTCCCTATGTACCCGGTCCGTCCATCATCTCTCAAGATATCCAGTATGGCTACCATTCATTCACTCACTTAATCAAACAATTTTTCGTTTACATTTAATTTTCAGTTTCACAATTTAATTGTAAATCACCCAAAATAAGTAATACATGCATTAAGGAAACACCATTAAATCATCTTACCAACTCCAGCGTATTATCATGCAAGAAAAACTATAAAATTAAACAAACAGGATAAACAGTGAATAATAACCGATTCCGCCTCCATTAGTAATATGTGGTTAATTATCGATATTTTCTAAATCGTATAAAATACCACATTATTTATAATTAAACTTCAATTATATAACAAGAAATAGGGTGAGAGATTCTTACTCGAATCGGTCTTTGAATGCTAAACTTTCAGTCGTGCCTATTGGCAGTCCCCGAGTTCCCTAAATTTTTCTTTGAAGATTAAAACACGCTCCAAGTACTTAGAAATACTCCAAAAAATCTAAAATCAATGTTAAAAATCCTTTTCGGTCACTCTCGGGATTTCGGCAAGACGGCGTCACCATGCTCCGAGGACGGCACCGCCATCCGCAGTGGTGATTTGCCTCGGCTTGGCCGTTTTCGGCTAATTTCGACTGATTTCGGTCGGTTTTGTGCTCATTACTGTGAGAAAACACGTTAAGAGGCATCGGTTGGCAAGAAAAAAATTAAAAAACAGAAGCTTACCGGCAGCAGAATTTTTCAGTGCGGCAGCTCTGCCTACTCACCTTC